TACTTGAGACGGCCCAAACTACCAGTGCCATTGACATAGTGGGTTGTCGAACGTTGGCCCGTTGTCGCGCCGCCAATAACAACCGTACCCAAACTGCCACCACTCGGCCCGCCAGCCGAGGCGATGCTTTGACAACTGGTGCTGATGGGATTTGCATTGACCGTGGCCATTGTGCATTCGATTTAGTATAGAATTATTTTAAGTTAAAATTTGGCAAATTATTTGTAACTTAAACTTTACATTACATTTTGCACATTTTGTGCAAGTTTTCGACTTTGGCAAATTTAAAGAATCAGTCGCCGAATAAATGTGGATGTACACATTCTGGGATACACAATTGCTGTATTATATTGATTTCTATTGGCTATTTGTATTAGCTCCACTTCCGTTTGCACTTTTATGTAATTATTGAAAATTTTGTATTTTACAATTTATTTTTATTAAAATTATATAATTTCTATATGTACAAAGATCTATGGAATGACTGCAATACATATTCCAGCAGCAAACACACTAAATGTTAAGCATTTTCGCTTTTGTATTTTTCATGCTTCACTGCGTTTATTCATTCAACATGCAAATGTTATTATATCCGGTTTCCTCTTTTAACATTTTTTTTTAATGGAATAATTTTTTTTCATTTTCATAATGTGATATACATACTACATAGGTAATATTTTAAGTTTTCGGTTTCCGTTCGTTGTTCTGCGCAAGCCAAAGTCATAAACGATACTGTGGTATTCTGGGCCACAAAAGGGCAGAATATATATTTATGGATATACATACATACATACATACATATTGTACTTATGTATGTTCAAATATATGTACTTGTTGTATTCGTATGATATTGTGTTTTGTTTCGACCAACCACCGTTGCTTTAAACATTTTTTATTATTGTTTATCGCATCGTTTCCATAACGTCAATGTTTTTAGGCCGTCAGCGAAAAATGTCTCATCTCTAGCGGTTGTTGGCAATTGCATATGTATGCCTATATGTATGTATTTGTGTTTGTGTTTCTACGACAACTGTCTTTATGGCGCACATGTTGCAATTAGAAAGTCGTAGCCTATGCGCAGGCGTTAGTACCCGGTGCAATACAAAAACAAAGAAATTATGTATTAAGTTATCGATAACCAGCTGTTGACGTTTAGCGTTTGGCTAATATTTCATGTTTGTGGATGGTTTTTTAATTTTTTTTTCTTTTTTGTGCTAAACAGTTGGTGTTCACACTGAACGAGACAGCAAATATACCACAAAACTTCACTTCAGTTAGAAGCGGCTTAAACATTTGTGAGATGTTTTAGGAAAGGTTTATAGAAAAATAAAATTTCGTCCAATTATTTTGATTTTTCTTACAGCCACGTCATGGAGCTGAAAATTAAAATAAAAAATTTTAAATCAGAAAAACGTTTGCTTTCGGCTCCAGGGGCGCTTCTGGTAAGGTGAATTCATACATACATATTAGGGTAGTCCAAAAATACATATGAAAATGTAAAGTCGGAATTTTAATGCCGCCACCCCCTAGGATTGTTCTATACCGAAAAAATAAACCCCAATTTTTTTTATTTTGAGATAAAAAATTGTCCATGTATTTCGGAGAAATGGTGTAGATTTCTTGAAAATCAATATTTTTCGGTCGGAAACCTCTGTTTCCCTTCAGGGAATTTCCAATTAAATATAATGCAATGTAACAATATTTTGTAGGTCCGCCAAAGTAACAAGAAAATTAAAGCGGTGGGAGGTGGGGATCAATAAAAAATCTTTAGTACTAAAAAATTGTTAAATAAACAATTGGATATTAATAGTGGATGGCTCAGGAAGAGAACCACATTTTTCCGATCGAAAAATATTGATTTTCAAGAATTATATACCATTTATATGAAAACTTGTTTTTCCCCCATATAAAATATATGAAAAACTGTGAGCGCTTTGAGACTCCCTAAATATTTTTTGATTTCAAAATAAAATATAGTTGTATATTTTTTCGGTATAGAAAAATCCCAGCGAGAGGCGGCATTAAAATTCCGACTTTACTTTACTTTACTTTGGACCACTCTAATACATATTAGAGGTACAAGATTATCGATAGTCAGACCATCGATTGTATTCGATATTATTTTCTAAACTAACGATATATCGTCGATAGTATCGTATTTATATGGTTTTCGCTCAATTTTGGTATAAAGGTCTTCCTAAAAATATATTCGCAAAGACGTTTGGATACCTTTGTAAACTACTGGACACGTTTTTTAATTGTTTAACCGTTAAGTAAGAAGTGAAGTTATTGAAAATTTTAAATGATTTGAAATTGAAAAAAAATTGGGCGTTCTGAAATTTTATATTTGTGGTTTTAGATATCCTAATTATATATGATAAAGCATTCAGCAAGTAAATTGAAATTTTAGAACAAGAAAGCATTTTGTTATATGAAAAGTAATGGTTTTATTAACCTTTTATTAAATAGTAAATAATGGGGAGTAGATAATATTGAAAGTTTTGGTATAAATTAATTTGTATCAGTTTTTTACTGGAGTAAGCGGTATTTTAAAAGATGCAAGGTTTTCCATTCTTTTCCAAACTTTTCATTACTCTTTTAAAAAAGTAGCAACCACATTTTTAGTTCAACTTGGATGTTTAAGAGAAAAGAAGAAATAAAACTAAACTAAATACTGAATCACATGTTTATGTTTAATAAAGTTTTAAAACCCTAATTTTTTAAAAACTTTTCGTTTTTGAAAGCTAGAGTTTTTGGTCGAAAATACAATTTTTCCCAAAAATGTTCAGTTTAAAAAAAAAATGGCAACGCTGGGCATAATAGACATGAAACTAAAGGCTATGGCAGATAAAACGCTTACTTCGCTTTGATTGACAGGTTCGCTTTGCCAAATAGGATAAAATATATGAAAATGCGCGAAATGCGCCACATGTACTATGGTTATGCTTCTTTTCTACTCGGGTAAATTCAACCAAAATGGATAAGCACCTTTTCTAACCGCAGAACGCCACAGGCAAACATCGATGGCCTACCAACTGCCACTTTGACGAGCAATATTATTGAAAGTTTTTGTGTGTGGGCACTTCGATGTCTTGAAATAAGCATTTGCCGCATGACGCCACCAGACAACATTCTCTCAATTTCGGCTTTAAAAACATTTAAATCTTTAAAAAACTTGCTGAAAAATTTCTTAAACGTAATCATAAATAGTCCAATAGGAAACAGATTTTTATTTTGATTTGATACCAAAATTTTATCGAATTGACCACCAGCACGCTTTCTTTCAAATGAAAATATGGCTGGCAAACTATCACATTGCCATATATTGGAGCCCATGAGAAATAAGCGGTCTCCATTAGCATCATATTTTGTGACATGGTTATCACGACATCAGTGTTTTCCTGTGAAGACAGGGCCTAATCGAGTTAGCAAGTCTCCTCGGATAGAATGTACACTTTTTTCTACACCGGTAGAAATCTTAAGACGGGTTGAAGTTTGTGCATAAACGATTTTAGAAGTGTTAGTCAGGATTGCATTGGGTTTTATAACTCGAGTTGAAAATTTACCGTTTATACTTGTTGAATATAACCAAGTAGAAGAGAAGTATAAGCATAGTAATAGATCGTTTTAGCTGCAGCGCGAAGCGAAAAGAAGAGGTCCTGGTATCTTTTTGCGCGCTTTGACCATCAGCTGCTTTAATTTTTATTTGGTTTCGTTCGAATTCGACTTTTCATGCAGTAACATAAAACTTAATTACATTGCTGATATTTTTAAAAATAAATATATGAAATCCACGGCAATTTTCATGAGTAATCAAGCAGTACGAAATTGTTTCCTTGACGTTCATTATGGCATACCTTTTTCGTCTTGCGGTTTGCTGAAAATGTTTTGAACGTCACGCAAAGCCACATCGTTTTATCTGGTATGGCCTCAATATGGTTGTATTTCGTTCTTAAGTAAATTGAACGCAAGTTCTTGATCGTGTAGTGTCGAGGTTATGTACCAATACGAGTACGAGAACTATTTATCGCCAGGAATCATGAACCAAAAGGACAAGATCACGCGGGCAGGAGAGTAGCCCGTTAGAATCGCATTAAGGAAAAAAGTTGAACGATTTTGACATTAGCCGTTTATTTACATTTCTTCGTTGTTTACAATTTGGTGGTGGCTTTTTACTGCAATTTTCTTCATTTTCGCTTGTGACAACGTGTGTACACATAAGATAAAGAATAATTTAACACAACGGCATGATTTTTAAAAGAATTTGTATAATAAAAATGATTTTTCATGCGTTCAACAATTTCGCGGTTTTCTCCGTTCTTTTCGTTGTTTACTTCTTACAGCAAAGATGGCGTCGAGATTTCGGCAGCTAGAAAATAACTTTTTTCGTTCTTTCCGTCCCGCGTGATCTTGTGTCTTTCGTTCATGGCCAGGAATACATAAAAAACAAAAAACAACAACCCTGTTGACCGGCACAGCTGATTAGCAGATTTCGCATTTTGTTGATAATTTTTGTATTTTCTCGCAATTTGGAATTAATTTGTAGTCACATTTTTAGTAACCAAAATGACTGCTGTGCCACCACCCTCGAATGTATCTACTTTGCTACCACTGGGTAAGTGTTCCTCAGCATATCAAAGAAACCATTAACCGCTTGTGGCCCGCTTTTAGAATTGGTGGACAAATGCATTGGTTCCCGCATACACATCATTATGAAGAACGACAAAGAAATGGTTGGTACTTTATTGGGCTTTGATGATTTTGTAAACATGTTGCTAGATGATGTGACGGAATATGAAAACACTCCAGAAGGCCGTCGTATAACCAAACTCGACCAAATACTACTCAATGGCAATAACATAACAATGGTTAGTATGATAAATGAAAATACATCTTTATTGCATTTATGATAAATTAAAGTACTTCTTATTTTGCAGTTAGTCCCTGGCGGCGATATACCAGAATAAAATTATGGGGAGCAAAATGAAAACAAGCTAACATTTGTTTAACTTTAAAATTAAGTCTTATTGAATACATTTAATAGCCATTTACATACATATGTTTGTATACTTATATCTTGGTTATTTTATTTCTTAGGATGCGTATATGTTTCCACTGTCTCGGTGTAGGTTTCCTAATTGCCCTTCATAAATTATATCGTTGATAGCTTTCTTAGCATAAATCTGTTGCTCCGGCGTCATTTTTTGCAGTTCCATAGCCCACGTCTCTGCCAATTTCAACTCATATTCTCCAAGTGGTTTCGGATTTGATATGTTTGAAGTTTTGGGTAGCGCCTTGTACTCTGTTCTTTCTATATGAGTATATTCCTCAGTTGGTGCGGACGAATCGTCCTCTTCAAGTACCTCTATATTTATTGGTTGTTCATCGTGATACTCGAGTTCAGATTTCTAAAAATATTAAATGAAAAATGCTTGGTAGCAGATATTGCAATGAAGCTTACCTGTTCCTTTGTAGCCACATCGCCGATCAAGAATTTAATTTCGTCAAAATACCATAATTTAGAGTTCTTACGACATTCTAGCACCATACTCTTTAGCTCTTTTCGGAAATTGGTTCTCAATGCATTTATTTTCTTGGTTACACCTTTACGACTTATATCTGGATATCTTTCTCGAAATTTGTTAACTAAAAATTCGTACGACGTATTCTTTGTAACTTTGTTGCGGTATCCTGGCGAACGCGGGTTCCATAACGCTGGGAGGGCCTTGTACACTTTGAGGCAACTGATAATAAAAGCGCGCTCCTCGCTTTTATCAACCAACGACATATTTTTCCAACCAAAATGCAAAATTTAAAAATGTATTGCACAATTATTAACTCAATACGAAATTATCGTTTTGCCTATTGCTAGGAATGTCGGAAAAACATCGATGATTTGCTTCGATGCATCATAAATTTTCCACTCGAGTATAAATAGTCGAAGTATCGATGATTTTTGGAAACTGAACATGAACCAAAAATACAAGATCACGCGGGCAGGAGAGTAGCCCGTTAGAATCGCATTTTGGGAAAAAGTTTAACGATTTTGACATTAGCCGTTTTAGATTTCTTCGTTATTTACAATTTGGTGGTGGCATTTTACTGCAATTTTCTTTATTTTCGCCCGTGGCAACGTGTGTACACATAAGATAAAGAATAATTTAACACAACGGCATGATTTATAGAAGAATTTGCATAATAAAAATGATTATTCATGCGTTCAACAATTTCGCGGTTTTCGCCGTTTACTTCTTACAACAAAGATGGCGTCGAGATTTCGGCAGCTAGAAAATAATTTTTTCTTTCTTTCCTTCCCGCGTGATCTTGTGTCTTCCGTTCTTAACAAAGAACGTGGATAGTCTAACGTAGGTTATCTACGTTCTTTGTATGTGCAGGTAGCGGGTTCTTCAACGTTTGAAAATACCCTTGGTTCGAGCATGTATTAAAAAATACTTAAAAAATTACGCATGTCAAAGTATTCCACTTATATAAAGCATTTTTATGAATAAGGGTAATATAAAGAATGTGATTTTTTTGCTTAAAACGCAGTTACAGGCTAACCTAATATTCACGCACGCCGCCAATTTATTGTCAAAAATTTCTCATGCACATGCAATTTGTATGAGATCAACCGAAATTGAACGGCGTGCGTATGAAGCTAACTAAATTTCCAATTTTTGTTCTGCGTGACATTTTGATTTGACGTTTCGCTCAATGAAATCAAATGCAAACGCATGCAAGTGAATTTCGGGTGACGCAAAAAAACAAATTCGACGGCATGCGTACCAAAACGCAAGCCGCGAATATTAGGTTAGCCTGTTATAAAATATATACTCTGCTAAAAGTAATCGAATTTATACCAGTTAAAAAACTTATCATCACCTGTAAATTAATTTGACATTTCGAATGCAACGAAACAAATTAACAGCTGATGGAATCACCGCCATATAAACAAAATACAGCAAAATCCTGGGCAATCAGGTGGTATATTTATGTAGAAAAATGCCAATTACCGACCAGGAGAAATTAGGTATAGTTGATTTTCTGGCAAAAGATGAGCAAAATGTACCGGCACTGCTGCAAGTGGCCAGAAGCGTGACAAAAAACATTTGCGACGTAGCAACAACGCAAGGTAATGTGGATGCGTGACTTGGTCATTAAAAACGATTGTTTTCTTATATTCCGTTTTAACTGCAGAGGCACTGGACTACGTGTATATACAAATTGGAGATACACTAACGCTGCTAAACAAACGGGCTATAACAAGAGAAATGCTTTTTAAATACTTACATCAACGTAAAATTCAAGTCAATGCAGATTTCACCAAAGGCGCTTTAATAAGTAGAATTATTGAATATTGGAACTCTAAATTCGAGTATAACAATGATAACTCTTTACCTAATACCACTACGAGCATAACAAGATTAACCAATGTGACTGAAAATAATACAGCCACTAGCATCACGACTAATCTTAGCACATCACAACAAGAGAATGAAACTCAGTATCCCATTCATTTACTGGCGCGACAGTTTACTGAATGGTTTTTTAATAACCTAAATAAACAAACTGTAAAAGCAGATGATTTTTGGTCAGATTGCCAACTACAATTGCGAATTGCCGCTACCGATCAAATTAATGATTATGAGTGTACAGGTACAGATGAAGTAATCTTTACGCTTTTAGGTTCAAAAGAACAATTTGGCTTCTACTTCAATCCGAACCTCACGCATGCTGGTGTTCAAGGTCGAATGAATGTGCATGGTCTAGTACTGGTATTGGCATGTGGTACACTTCACACAGAGCAAAATTGTGTAGGCGTATTTGAGTGTACGTTTGGCCTATTGCGTGATCCATTCGCTGAGAACAACTGGAAGGTGAAAACAATGAAATGCATACTGCGCAGCCAGCTAGCTGCTGTAATGCCAAGCTTGTGTGAAAGCGAAACACTCGTAGAGGCACTTCATTTACCGATTCCAGAAGGAGAAATTACGTAGCATTAGCAGATATAGATACCGACTATCTACGAAATCTAGTATCTTCAATATTTATTTATTTTAATTTTATTGCTAATAATAAATTATTTTCATTCAAATTGAGTTTATTTTGTATTAGGAAATATGTATATGAAAAGCAGTTGGGAGGGAAATATGCACATTTTGTTGGCAGCAGGAAAAGGCGTTAACGGATACAGCATCAAAAAAGCATTCCCACGACAGTGTGGGGGTGTGTTCGAGCTACGTGTTAATTATCACAATTTGTAGCCTTGCTTTCTTGATGATATTTTATTGATACTCAACTTAAAATCTTCTGAAATGCTGCAGAAATTGCGCAGAAAAAATTGTATGTTGCTTTTGTTTAGCCAATGATGAGCACCTGATTGTAAAAATTTTGTTCCTCAAACGCTTGATGTAGGCAGTCTCCCAAATTTTCGCGTAGAAAGTGATGCTTTCATAAAAGGTAACATTGCCGTATTAACTGCAGCTCGAAAACACCCTCTATTATAGTCATGTATATAACCAGAACAAGCCAGATTTACATATATGCATATGTACATATGTATATCTGGAAAAAGAAATTATGCATTGAATTATAAAACAAACATTTTGAAACTGCATTTGGCCAGTAATATTTCTTGTTTTGAGTACTTCAGAAATAAATGTATGTACATATCTCTTATATTTACATTTTTTACAGCTGTTAGGGACTGCTCAATGTAGTTGCGAACAATACTAAAGAGGGTTTATAGACCGTTAATGCAGCTTTTATTAAAGGTAGTTACTGGCGTAATCATTGCTGACTGGCGTAAATAATGCTTGGTGCAATACAATTTCATGGAGCACATATAACTTATGCCGCTTTTCTAAATTCAAACACATCCTAACATATGCTGTAAATTTCGAAACGCATAATATTAAATATCAGCATGTATAGCATTTCATGCCAAAGCTTTAAATTGCTGTTTTTTTTTTATTCAATATGCTTTTTTGGGTAAGCCGTTCCACTATCGCCTTTTCCAGCCAACAAATTTACCTTATAACGTTTGGTTTGTCTATCAATGTTTAGAATAGAGTAAACTTAGCTTTCGTCGTCTCCAACGCCATGGTTTCGTTTCTTAGCCGGAGCAACACATCACCGTTACACCTAGAAAAATTCAAAAAGTGCTTATATAGAGTACAAAATTGTTGATAGTTAAAAATTATAAACTTACTGCCAACCAAATATACTCTACAATTTTTACACAGATTTAATTTTTACAATTTAGCGTCGCTGTGCAATAATCCGCCTGAAAGAAAAACAATTAACACTTAGTTTAAATATAACCTATTACAAATTTTTAGGTTTCGCTTATTACTCCATTGGAAGCACAGGGCATAGAAAATCATTTGCGTCGCCATACCAACAGCAAATCGATTCTCATGCCGCTCCAAGCTGGAGGTTTATACGAAATTTTACTTTTTACTTTACTGTATTGTATAATACACTTCAAACCCAAATTATTATTACCAGTGCTATAAACAAAAAACATGCTGTTCTCACATTGGACGCAGCATGGGTAGAGGCACGTCAGCACGTCTACGCCTTTTTCGTGTGGTGCACAGCGACATTCTGAAATGAAATCAAATACTATAGTAATGCTTGGTGAAATTTTAAAAATTAATTGGTGTGACAACATGCCGGCTAAGAAAAAAATTCATTCGTAATGAAGGATTTCTTAATTGGAGAAATGTAGTACAATCAATTGAGAGCAAATATTTCTTTAATAGCCTTCTGGTAGTAACTTTTTTTTAATGAACTCTTTGTTTGCTTGCCAAAACTGGATGCCTTAATGTTGAACATAAAGATTTAAATATCAAAACAAAACCTGAACTAAAAAAAAAAACAATAATTTAGCTTATCGCAAAAGCAGTTTTTTCTTTGTTTTAAACAATGTAAGGAAAGACGGCAAAAGAAATTGCCTTTACAATAATTTATTGTTAATATTCTGATCAAATTCCAGCTTTAGTTGTTTCTTCTCTATTCCAGAAGGAATTTGCTTCATCTACATAACCATTCGAATGCAGTTAAGTTAATACGAACATCATAAATTACACGCGCTTGAACAATCAACGTTAAAAAAAGATTGTGAAGGAAATGAGATAAAATTAAGGAGAACAAAAACATGGCGTATATATGTACATATAATTAAATGAAAAGTAAAATGAAAAGCTTCTTCAATATTTTACATATTAACTAAGTTCTTTTAATATGATACAACTATAGATTTTGATGTTTTCATGATTTTGAAACACAATAATTTAGTCAACTCAATTATAACACATTCCAATTTTAAATGCTGCACAAGCTAACAAAATTAGAAGTTTTTCCGTACACATCGTTTAATATTTTGTCTTCAATCTATTACTGAATGCTTGACAGATTAGCTGATAAAATCTATTGGTTTTGTACTTTGGCCAACAAAATATATTTTTTCTCAAACTAGCCGCGGATTTTAGGAAAAGTAAATTTTAATTACACTTAAACTTCAAATAAAAATGTGCTCAGTTCAATTGTCTCTGCTGCTGTTCTGTCACTCTCTTTCATGATGCGTAAAATATACGTAAAAGGTGCATCAGTGTAAACAAATTTTTATCTGGTGTTAAAAATTGCATAATACTTAATTTATAAACCTTATATACACTGCATGATTGTAACATATAATACAATACTAGCAGCATTTTAGCAAAGAATTACATTGTGTATATGCCTGGTGCCGGCGCGTCGAATTTTCTCAACTCAATTTAAAACAGGACACACTTTCATGAAGTGGTCGCTTACATCTTCTCTTGAATAAAAGGATGTGTTAATGCTTGATTCAAAGAAATTCTTTTCGATGGATCCAGCGCAAATATATTATCCAATAAATCCTTAAGTTGTGTTACTTTTCGGTGTTGATCATCTGGTAAATTCTGATCAGCAATAAGTTCCTGTTGTAGATTTCGTGTAGGTTTAATTACAGGCATAACCACGATTTTTTCCTAAAAAAATATTTATATTTTTTAGTAAAAATATGGTGCACGCATAATCAACTGCAATAATTACCCTTTCCGTAATTTTGTCAATCTCATGATAAAGAAAGTTGCAGCTCTGATCAAAGTGTTGATCTTTGAATTGACCTTTCCGAATAATACGATTTGGAATTTTTCCTAACGATGAAAATATAATAAAAATTAATTAATAACAGATTCTCCCATAACAAATTGCTTGATAATCAGCATTTTAGGTCATATCTGAGGGATATGTAATTGATTATTAGTCTCCACCTTTTAAGTCCATGAAGAATTTCAGCATTTGGTTATTGCTCTTTCCACTAAACAGAATTTTTCCAGTGTATAGCTCATAGATTGTACAACCAGCAGACCACATATCAATTCCGTAATCGTAAGTAATGCCTAATATGATTTCGGGCGCACGATAGAAACGTGATATTAAATATGGTGTTATTTCGTTGTCGTTAATAGCTGAAGCAGAACCGAAATCACATAACTTTAAACATAAATTATTATCATTCACAAGAATGTTGTCGGGTTTAATGTCTGCATGAAGTATGCCGGTCTTTTTAAGCAACTTAAGTGCCAGAAAGAGCTGTTGCGTATAGCTGCGCACTGCTTTGATGTGTAAGCCAACATTTTTACCATACTTTTTAAGCACTTCCCGAAGGTTCATAGATAGCGGCTCGAACACCATGCAAAGATGCTAAAAGAGACGACGTATGAATTTTCAAATTAAATTCTTCCCTCTTTAACTCAACGCGGTACCCACCTGCTTATGAAAAAAATGTCTGAAAAGTCGTAAGCAATGGAATCTATCTTCTGGATCTGCGTCATTCAATTTTTTTAAGATCTCCAATTCACGCAGTCCCGTTTTATGCCTGAAAATTTACGTTTAACAAAATTTCCTGGATTCAAAATATAAATTTTTTATCTTACATTATCTCGTTGTTGCGTATAATTTTTACAGCAACATTTGCATTCCCACGTGCTTGATCACGAGCTCTCACTACATTACTAAATACTCCCTGGCCTGTATATCCACTCACAACATAACGGTTGTCAAGACTTTCCCCAATACGTACACGATAATATCCTTCCGCATCATCCCAGTTGTCTGTCAGTGCAGGATTTTCATTTTGTGTTTTATTCAGCACTATTGCATTAGGAGACTGGAAAATATAAAATGCATTCGCTTAATTTCCCTTCAAGTGAATACTATGCGAAGATTGACAGTTACGAGCCAACGACTCACATCGAAATTCGAGTCTACGTCTTGATCGGCAAACATATCCCATTCCGGTCGCTTTTCCCTGGCACCACCTTTAGTTTTCTTATCGTCGTCGAGGTCATTTTCCTCCTCTCGGCTGACCTGTATTGATGACTTCGGTTGGGTATTATTCGGCAAAGGCGCGATGTCTTGGATTCTCGGTTCTTCTGGAGAAGGGATTCGTTCTCTTCTAGGTTGCGAGGATTTGCTTGGTGAAGATGATTCTGTTTTTCCTCCTAGTTTCTGAAATTGTAAAAATGTTTAATAACGTAAAATATCTGATATATGTATACACAAGTTTTCATACTTTTAATAGTTCTTCACGTTGCTTTCGACGCATTTCAATTATTTTTTCTTCTTCGTCTTCGTCTTCGTTGATGTCAATATCCAAATGACCATCATCTTCGCTGCTCGATTCTCTTATTTCAGCTTTTTGCCCTTCGCTTAATGAGCCCCGGTAGCGGTCCTTTTCACGATCGCGCCCACGCTCTTCTCCTCGCCATCCATCTCTTTCGTTTTTTCCAGTGCGCTGACGTTCTCGCTCTATCCGACGCCGATCCGATTCTACTTTACTTCGGCTATGTGAACGCATCCGGCGGTCTCGATCACGGTCACGATCACGTTCCCGTTCTCTTCCGCGAGAGTTACCAAAAGAGCCAACCCTACTACGATCTTGCGGCCTCAATCGGTCCTCTCGCGAACGTCGATCACGATCGCGACTATTTTCTCTCTCGCGTTCCTTATCTCGATTTATTTCCAAACGAAGATCTTCTTTTTGACGGTTTTGATCATGCAATCCTCGTCGCTGCCTACCTCGATTGTGACTATCGTCGCGACTTCGAAGGCTGTTGGCCTCTGAATCTCGTCGTTGCGATCGACTACGGCTAGTACTACGCTTGGAAAGATTTGTGTGCTGATCTCGGGAACTGTGTCTACGTGTATGTTGCGCTTCCGGTGCTGAATGACGATGATGGTGGTGGTAATGCTCTGCCGATGACTTTCTCTGCGGTGATGGTAGGCGCTCATCTTTTGATCTGTGTGATATACGCGTTGTTTTTCGCTTCAATTCAGGAGTTCGGTTTCCACCGCTAGAATCATCCAATAATATAACATCGGGTTCATTTGAAATCTGTTTTTTACTTATTTTACTAATAACATTTTTACTGATTGACGAAGATGATGACAACGAACGCTTTTTAGCTGAGTTGTCAGTTCCACCTCTGGATTTATCCTCATAAGCAGTGACTTTTACCGTTTCGCAATGAAGGTTTACAATTGGTATTTTATTGGAAACGCTGTCTTCACCATCGGACTCGGATAAATATGCACCCAATCGAGCCTGAAGTAAAGCCTTTTGCTTCATTAACTCCTCGAGATTGAGTTCATCCTCTATGATGGCAACGTCTGGACTAGCAACATCAATGGGACTGCTTATACAAATAATAAATTAAAAAACGTTCAATTAAAAAAAAACACATACATACACTTCACTTTCGCTTCCAGATGATGCAATTTCCATAGAGGGCACTAAATTATTTTTTATGGTTTTGGTTATTTCCTCCACCAGACTACCCGGGTCTGTTTGAACATTGGGTTTTGTTATAGTGAACCTACCTCCATTTGAATTATGTTCGCCATGGTTTAACGCTGGGAGATCTTTGCTCCCCTTATGCATTATTTCTGTGAATTTTTCATTTAGACAGCTGCGCCGTTTATCACCTAAATCCTCAGAGACCGAGGATTCACTGTGTTTATGGTGATGTTTTTTCGATTTTTTGTGTTTTCTGTGTGATTTGTCACATTTATTCGATTTCTTGTGCTTCTTTTGTTTTTTGGATTTTTTGTGTGAACTCGAAGCTAATTTAAAACGTTTATCTTTCGGAGATTCAGTGG